GGCATCGTTTTTATAAGAAATTTTGCGGACCAGAAACAAACTTTGTCCTCCAAAAAGTACAGCTGTGATGTGAAGCGAGATGAGTTCACATTCGTAATACTTACTAAATTCACAAATATACCCAAGGCTGTTTCTGTTTCTCGGGTAGTAATCACCACAATAGTCATCTGCCCAATTCAGACCCTTGCTACGCCTAAACGCAATGAACAGTAAAAATATTTTTCAACATTTCGGAGAAAGTCATTTTGTCGCCATTGCTACACGACAGACGCGTGCTGGGTACACGTGTTTGTATTGTGTGTGAAGCAAGTATTTGCACCATTACCCTTGGACGAGAATAAACAGTTCCTTACCACATTAAAGTACAGTCTTGTCCGCGATACGATCTTCTTCTATTGTTATTCGGTTGACTCCTTGCCCAACTGCTGAAATCACCGCTTCTTAAGCGGGTGCCGTCAGGCCAACGATACACTCCCTCCCTGCTACGGTCGTTGAGTCCGATCCAGAATCCTTTGAGACCTACTTGTATGTTATTGTCATATATGTAAGTCTTCAGGAGGTTCTGGATCTCCTGTGAAGTCACCATTGCCAAGTCACCGCCGTTGTTAACACATCTTCGTCTGGCATTTCGCCAATGTGTGGTGATGTTGTTCACTTCATACCGGGAGCAGTTGAGCGTTAGGACGTCCTCGACTGAAAGCAAAAAAAAAAAAACGTCACCAACCAGATCTGATTGGTCTGACTAGGGTTGGGCAGAATATCGAGCAGAATCTTGCAAGTTGGAGGATGTGGTTAAAGCGAGGAAGTCGTCATCTGCGCATGCGTCAGATGGCCTTAGAGTGTCATTGTTTACAAACAAGCGTCTACCCATGAGCCTTGCGTTTTTAGCACGTGTTATCACTTCGAACTCAATTCCCGCACGTGTGCAGGGGACGATATTAGGCGTCATAGGAGTGCGTACTGTCAATAAATCAGGGCATGTAAATGATCAGTTTAAAAATCTTGCGAAATCGAGGAAAAGTGGGTGCAAGTCGCAAACATCAAATGAGCCTACCCAATTGATTCAATTTGGGTTCATGTTTAGAAATATTTCATATTTACCTTAAAAATAAATAAATTGAAGGGAGCAGTTTTGTAACTTTACATCTCGGAATCTGAGATGCATCTCTCTGCCTATAGGAATTTTTTTTTATTTTTGCCTGTCGCGCGATTTTTTTGACCAATCATTGCTGCTAATTTAATTACATTATGAATGCTACTTTATATAAATGCTTTCTCACATTCGTTCCTATCCCGACAAGTTGTCGTAGATGGCGCCCTGGACTGCTTGCCGAAACCTACCGTAGGGAGTTGAGTTCTATATACATTGTACCACACACTCCAACAATATAGTTATTTTTAAGTTGAAACAGACGCACGTTTCAAAAACTAGATACAACACTTATTTGCGTTTGACGTTTTTTCGTGTACATTGTAAAAGGCGTTTTAGACTACAGCTATCCGATTATAGCTATAATTTTTTTTTTTTCAAATTACATTGTATATATCAATTAATTTTATATGTCATTCGGCCATTTGCCTTGTGAGCTCTTTCCAGTGTTAAACATTGTATCCCATTCTCATCTGAAATCTTTTCTGGCAGCAAATTGAGGAATTTATAATTTTGATTGCCATTTACTGGGTGAACTTTTTATGAACATCTATTTAGTATTAATGATTCAAACAACTGCAGCTTAGTGAACCATATTTGTCACTATATACTCCGCTATTCAGGCATGAATCACGTGACCAATCAAGACACGTGACAAGAAATAAGATATAATCATAATTATATACCACCGCTAGTTCTTATTAGTTTGTAGTGTTGTTGCAAATACATTGCATAAGGGTCATTTATACAATGTCAAAAACATATTTAGTGCTATCCTCGGGGGCGGACATCCGGGCATTTTCTACCGCCTGGCAACCCTCGCGGTGAAAATAAAGACCAAAAACTCGCAGAAAACGGTACTTTGCGATGGTTGTTGAGAGTCCCCTGAACAATGTAACAAGATTAGCCCTCCGTGTGTAACATATATGAATTTGGTTGTTCAGGATTACTTCAAAGTTGAGTTTGTGTTGTTTTCTCGAGTTTTCACCGGCTCCACCGGCGTTCCACAGCAGCGCGCACAAAGCCCATAGAAATACGTGGTACAGTGGTGCGCGTCTTAGCAACGTAGAACGTCCGTGACGTAGCTCCGCCCCCGAGGATTCAAACTAGTTTCAGGCATGTATATACAAACAGGAACAGTAAAAATATTCCAGTAAGAAAAAACATTTACCAGGTTCAGCGGTCTCACAGTCCACTCCAATGTATCCAGTACCTGAGCAATCGCATTTATAGGCATCAGGAGTATCTTCACACTCGCCTCCATTTTTGCACGGGAAATCACGTGTACACTCATCATCTGCAACGAAAACGAGGATACCGAAATGTATGCACGAAGGCAGTACAGCGGGAGTATTTCCTTGTAATACAGTTTACCATCTACAACCATGCGCAGTACATGTGCTGCTTGACGCTAAATAGTTGAGAAATCGCTCGTTTCCTGCTATATTGTGCGTGCGTGTGTATATGGAGGGGGGGGGGTACCAAACTTTCACAGTCATAGTTTTCGCAACATGATCCCAAACACTAATAAAATTCGATCAAAATTGTCGTTTGTGTGAACAAATGTCACAATTCGTACGCATTTCCCAATTTGTATTCTTAAAAACAAATAATCAATTATAATATAAAAATGTAAAATGTAATTTCTTTTTTCTGTAAAGTGTAAAAACCTATTTTTTTTACTGTTAATGGGGAACTTTCAATTTATTTCTTGCAAAATCCATCAACTACCGCCCTTGCCCCGCCCCTCCCCCTCCCCAAAAAAACAT